TGAATGAATGACTGAATGAATGGGAGGATGAATAAATGAATAATGGAATAAATTGATAAATTAATAGATAAATGAAATATACTTTCAGTGTTTTTTTTATAATCATGTAACTATCTGTCCCCCCCACCCTATCCTAACCTACAAGTTTTCGACTTTCATTTAAGGATTTTGGCATTACACATAAATCTACATACCTATTCAAGCACATTGCTGGTAGTATTTTAGGATAAAATCTTTCTCTTGCTTGAGGAGGTAGAGTTTGGAGAAACTGCCTTGTTGCTACTGATGCTGCCATGCGAACCTTGAAGAAGCAAAACAACGCAATTTGAAAAAAAGAACTTACAAGAACAGTTAATAAGGTTTCGTAAATATAGATGGCTAAACTTCTATGTCACCTTGTTCACACCCCTATAATTTTTTTAAACTCTGCTTGCAAGCATTTCGATTTGGTGAATCAAGGGTCACTATAGGGGCAATGCGCTCGCCTCTTACCACTGGGATCTCCGGTTTGATTTCCATCACATGTGAGTAGAGTTTGTTGGGTCTCTCCCTTGATTTGAGGGTTTTTTTCTCCAGGGATGCCACCCTCTGCAAAAACCTAACATGCTAAATTATAATTTTATCTGGGGGGTTTAATTAGCTGTCTGACTTTGATCAGACAGAGGCTATTTCAAGGTATGGATGGAATCCAAAGCATTATTCTTATCATACTTTGAAACCATTCATGGCTTTTCATATATCGTTTATTGAGAATAATTCCTTATAATTTTTTCACTAATTTGGTAAAAATAAAACTTCAGAATCCTTTTCACGTACCTGACTCCAGTTATCAGCCAGGCCCTTTTGAAGGTAGCTGCTAAACTGATCCCCATGTTGCACAATTGCATTGTTTTCGATAGAAATGCTGCTTTTAGTAGCTGCAAGACTTTCATCTAAAATTTGATGATAAAAGACCTTAGGTTAGTTAACATTTACAGTGTGACTACTATAACTGGGGCCACTTAGACAGTGAGAAGCAATCAAATTGTATAATAAAAGCAATACATTACATTGTTACAGTAGTTGCACCACAAAAGCATGTTAAACATGACAAATAAGAAGAAAACCATTAGCAAACAATATATCATTTCGAATCAATAATTGTGAAGTTTATTCCTTTTTAATTTATTTTGTGATACACATTTCTCAAACCTGTGAGAACTTGCTAGTTGATATTTAATACATCAAGTCATTATTAATATTACTACTTGTTGAATACAGTTAGTATAACGCACCTTGTGGTCTTCCCAGACTGACCAGAGATCCACAAACTTGGTAACCAGTTTCTCGGACAAATCTGTTGGTGTGGCTTAGTGCTTGGAATATAAGATCAAGGAGAGTCTGTGAAATATGTTCATTGAAGGCTTCACCACATCCCTCTATCAATGACTGAAGACACCTGGTTATAAAAAATACAACATTGATTAAAAAGGAAAAGTATGATGTTCAACATAAAACTCATGATGATGGTGATGACAATGATACATTGTAATCATGATGATTTGAAGGGGATGGCATTACTACATTAGTACAAAGCCATTAAATATAAGTGGTAAGTTTTAGAAAATTATGCTACTTAATTTAAGGCTCCAAAAACCTTTTTTAGACTAGCACCCGATCCCCCCCCCCCTCCTCCCCTTCACTGGATCTATATATTATATATTTACCTCATGCTAGTCTCTAGATTCTTCCATCCAGCAGTATCATGGAATATCTTGGCAGCATCTGCTGGTTTGTTGGCCTATTAGATAAGATAACATGCAAGACAAGTCTTTAGTTCATGCCACAATTAATTTGCACACAGCCATTTTCATATTTCTCTAACCCAGACAGCTCCACATGTAGCATCTGAGCAATCTTTCACAAATAAAATTGAGTGTTGGTGAAATGTTGGTAAAGTGTAAGTGTTGGTCAACAACTAAAATTGACCTGAAGACTTGTGGCGTCCATGCTGACGAAATAATAATTATATTTATTTCACGTTATATGGCCAAGAAGCGACATCAATTGGTTTAGAAATATGTTTAAATGGTTATTTGATTTTTGCTAACTGTTCTGAAGTTCTCAATCTCTCCATTATTGATTATATTCTTAAAATATAGTCTTTTTAAATATCCTAACCAGTGAAGTGGAATTGTGAAACTTGGTTACTATAAGGATTCAAAACTTAGCGAAAAGTATTTAAGGCCAAAGTTACCAGCTCTATAACGGCATAGTATTTAATGATATATTTATGTATATGCCTTCAAGATTAACTAGAGACTGAAAGCTGTATTTTCCTTTATGCTCTACTAACCCACTCAATTAAAGCCAGAATACTGCCGACTGAGTAGTTGTATTAATACAAATAAATATCTGAATTACAATCCTAGAAAGTCTTCTTTTACTGCTCAATTATCTTACTTCTAAACACTTATGGAAATGTCATTCAAGTCCATATACAGGGATGTAACAGGCAACCCAGTAAAATGTTTTGAATTTTCACCTTTTGAATGGCAATGGATAATCTTTATGCATAGCAAAAACATGCCTAATTTCTAAAACTTGTTTTCCTTTTCTAAATGCCCGAATTTTGAGTGTTTTTTAAATTTGGAAAATCCGGAACCGTACATAGATGGAATGGACTGGACTTCGGTTGGCTGGATTGTACGGAACATAGACGACTTTTAACGCTGAATTTGCAACTTTTATCCTATGTTTTGTATTTTATTATAAATGACTAGTGATTCTATTACGAAATTTTGCAAAAAAAAAAAAGCAAATTTAAAAAAATGTTTTGGATAGTGGCACTGAATGAAGTCCAGTGAAGCTTGTCAGCGGTAAAGGTTTCTCAAAGGACTGTATAAATCATGTGTCTATAGGTGACTTTGTTGATCGTAAAATATTTTTATGACTAATTTTCTTCCATTAAGATGCTATTAAGATAAATTGGATGTGACTGGAATGGATTGATTGACTGAAAAGGATTGCAAGTGACTGGGCCTCAGTCTGTGACTTGAATTTGAATCAAATTTTTTTTTGAATTTTCATCTTTTGAATGACCATGGATAATCTTAATGTATAGAAAAACATGCCCAATTTCTATAACTTGTTTTCTCTTTTTCAATGCCCGAATTTTGAGTGTTTTTTCATTTTGGAAAATCCGGAACCGTACATAGATGGAATGGACTGGACTTCTGTTGGCTGGATTGTACGGAACATAGACGTCTTTTAACAGCGAATTTGCAACTTTTATCCTATGTTTTGTATTTTATTATAAATGACTAGTGATTCTATTACGAAATTTTGCAAAAAAAAAAAAGGAAATTTTTTTTAATGCTAAGAATCGTGGCACAAGTTGAAGTCCTGTGAAGCCGGTCAGCAGCAAAGGTTTTTCAAAGGACTGTACACATCATGCGTCTATAGGTGACTTAGTTTATAGTAACATATTTTTAAGACTAATTTCCTACATAAAGATGCTATTAAGATAAATTGGATGTTACTTGGATGTGACTGGAATGGTTTGGTTAACTGAAATGGATTGCAAGTGACTGGGCTTCAGTCAGTGACTGGATCTTGAATCAAAAAAAAAGTTTTGAATTTTCACCTTTTCAATGGCCATGAACAATCTTTATGTATAGCAAAAACACGCCCAACTTCTAAAACTTGTTTTCCTCTTCTAAATGCCCGAATTTACATCCTAAGCTGCTAAGCCAATCTATAAGCCATTTATCTATGAACACATCATTCAAATCCATATATGGGTACTCTTGTGCAAGAATGCACATTTTGTTAGAAGGAGACAGGCTGGTTGCCACAGGCAACCCAGTATAAAAAAACGAAGGCATCTTACGACTGGGCTGTGACAGGCAACCCAGTAAAACTCATGAAGTTTTTATTTCAGTATTTATTTTAGTATTTATGACTGGACTGTCACAGGCAATCCAGTAAATTAAAACTCATGAAGTTTTTATTTCAGTATTTATTTTAGTATTTATGACTGGGCTGTCGCAGGCAACAGGCATATATTGTCCCATACCTCAGTTTTCATTTCAGGTTGATTTCCGTTCATTTTCTTCTGAAGTTGATCTGTAACTGATGGCTCATCTGGTACATGTATTTGTCTTTCCAAGTTGTTTGACACACTTGAAAGAACTTCCTCTTTACAGCCAATGTAAACTTTTGTTCCTTGAACTTGGCAAAGAGCACCAAGTACTTCACCTGAAGAATCAATGGAGTAATATATTTCCTGTACAATTTTTGACAGATAATAGATATCGTTTTTTAAATATAGCATTCTTTTGATCATGAGTGTTCTGATGGATGGAGATTTTATGTTTTCAAAGATCCAGCTAGCAGCCATGTTAGAAAGCAAAACAACAGAACCCCATCCTTTCTGTAAGATGAATGTTGCATTGTACTTGCCATGGATCCAACATGGCTACCATCATGTGATCATGCTTCATATAATTATGAATAACGGGGAGGATACAAGGGGGAGGATACAAAAAAAGTCGCACAGCGCTTAAATTTGATGACAGCTACAGTATATATATATAAAATCTAAAACAGAGATGGAGAACAATGGTGGACAGACAAGTCAGATCATTTTCTTGTATGGGTACCATACAAATTCCACCATCCCTGTTCCACATATTAACTGAGCATTAAGATGATAAATAATAAGCTTAGGATTAACTTACCAGCCAAAATTCTCACACGAAATTCCTCATCATGGATCAAAATTAAAGCATTCTTTTTCATATTTTCAAGGAATTCTTCGTCCACAATTTTTGCCAGAATAACAATCTTTGCCCCAAGGAGTCCACCATGTCTTATTTCCCAGTTTTTATCAGCAGATTGGACTAAAGATGTCAGTGAATTTGAGAACGAAGATATTAATTCGGGGTTGTTTTTCAAGCCTTCTTTTTCAGAAAGCAGTTTTTCTAACGAAGAAATCCCGCGATCTCTTTCGAGTTTGACATGACTGCATAGTAGCTTCAACACCTCTTCAATATTTGCCATTTTATGGAGGAATCTTCTCTTGATTTGCTATTTCTTTTCTAGACAATTTTCATCTTTCTGTATAAAGAACAGTAGTTTTGACAACTCAAATTTCAAGATGGCCGTTTGACGCCACAGGGTTCCCAATCCCATATCTTTAGAAATACACGATAGACTAAAAGGACAAAAATAAAATCTTTGTTTCAAATTTTTGTCAATGTATCAAGGATAAAATTTCTATAGAATTAAATCAAAGCATAAGAACACCAATTGTTGTTTTTAGCGTCTGTTTTGTAAAGAGGTAAAACGTTATTCCTTTCATGGGGCTCCTGTGTTATTCGCCCCAGTCTGTTTCATCCAAAGTGTTCTGAAGTATTTTTACCACAGCTGTTAAAATTTCTTTTCTTTGATCATGAGACTACTAACTCATAACATGCTAAAATCCCACGTCAAAGGGGTCAAGAATGGATTTCCCTTGTCTATAGAGGTATTCATTGTTTTAATCGTTCAGTATTTGATGTTTTACAGTAAGTTTAATGCTCGCCAATGATGAACTCGTGCACGTGTTGTTGTGTGTGATCGAACGAAATCTTTCTTTTTCAGCCAGAAAATGTTGTTGTAAATACTGTGGATTTCAACCCAGAGTTTGTCAGTCGAATGATTCCTAAGCTAGAATGGGGAGCGCTTGTACAAGCTGCTCATCAGGTAAGGATACAGTGACTATATTTTCTTTATCATTACTAGCTTTTTATGGCTGTTCTATATTACTACATGACCAGATTTCAGCTCATCAGCTTCAATTTAATTCATCGGAGAGACTATTCGTACGTCACCCATACGGCGACTTATATTTGCTATTCGTACGGGAGTCAAAAATTTCGTCGATTTTCTCGGAAACTCTGTATTCTTTTCTGTATTCTATTGCGTACATTTTTCACTCCCGTACGAATAGCAACCGCGAATAGATCGTACGGGAGTCGTCAGAAATTCTATTGCGTGACATTTCCCGCCGTGACACTGACCCTTAGGTTGGAAGAGGATACAGAGTTCCCGAGAAAATTAACGAAATTTTTGACTCAACTACGAAATAGCAAATACACAAGTCGCCGTACGGGTGAAGTATGAATAACCACTCTGTTAATTCATACTATAGGCCTTTTCTGAGTTTGATAAACAGGATGTATTGTGGTCTAGCTTCGGGTACAAACAACACCATATAAGGCATGATGGACAAAAGGTCTTTGTACTGAAGCTACCACAATGCACCATGTTTGCTATCTCAGAAAAGGTCTATGCAAGRGGCCATCTTTTATTGCAGGGAGTTGGGGTCAACAGAAATCAAAAATACATGTACAAGCCCCCCTCCCCCCTCCGTAAAGTCCTTAAAAATCTGGTCCTCTCACTTACATGTATTTTATTAAATCATGTGCCAGCTGACATGTTAGATGGCAGAACAACGTATCAAGTCCTTGAATCTGGGAAATAGACCCTTTTCCAGTTCCAAGTTACCGCTCTGTTTCTTGATTACGGACTCATTTACTCAGGCTTAGCCTCGATTTTGTGTAGAATATTCATGTGTTCCAGTCAAGTGTTTGTATTGTTGAAGTTGTGCATTCTTTACTTTACTGTTGGTATTTGTGAATATTTGGACACTGATTCGAGGCTAAGCCTGAGTAAATGAGTCTGTAATCAAGAAACACAGCAATAATTTGGAACTCGAAAAGGGTCTATTTAATTCTTTTTATAATGGCTGCTGTCATGTACTATGTGGTTGCAGGAAATCTTAAAATTTGACTAATACATTTTTATGTGACGGGGTGTTTAGATTGGTCATGGACAAGATCTACCTGAAGCAGTAATATCAGATTACGAAAGCAATGAAGATTTTCTCAAAAAAGCACATCATGTCCTCCTTGAGGTAATCAAAGTACTGGATAAAAAATAAATAAATCGACCACTACAGATTCCTTTACAATCCCTAGTTGCACGCTTTTGTTTGTTCCATGCTTTAATTACAGTAGCACCAATTGTCTAACTTTTCTCTGATGAAATACAAATTATTTCAATAAGAAACAAATTTTGAAAAGCATCTTGGTAGTGTGACTCAAATGATGCTAAAAATCTTGCACTTTGGAATGCAGGGGGACAAAACAATAGGTTCCAATTCTCAGGAGATTGGAATTCTTTTGTTTTGTCCTACATATTGAGCTGCTTTGATGTCACATGCAAAGGGCCTATATAATATTATATAGATTTTGTATGACAAAGAAAAAGTCGGAGCACATTTCAGGGTCACAGACTTGTGGAAAGGAGGTCAGTTGTCATTTGACATGGCCTGATTTCAACAGCCCAGGAGAAGAGGGGATATCCAGTACCCACAACTGTACTGCTGGATTTGAAGTGTGATCTGCGAAGTGTAATCCTAGATTTTGTATGAGCCTCAAATAACTCTAAAATATTTTAATATTTAAAAGTGTTAAAAAAAGTTCGTGGTCCAAACTTAAACACAAATAGGAGTAAATGTTTTTGTTCTTTTTTCTTCAGGTTGAAGTACAGGAAGGAAATCTAGTGTGCCCTGAATCAGGGCGAAAGTTTCCAGTCAAAAATGGTATCCCGAACATGCTTCTAAATGATGATGAAGTCTAGCTACACTAACAAAGAATCATTTATAAACAATTTATGAAAGAGACAGTGCAAGTACATACATGTAAAAGCATACAACAGTAACATAGAGCAGTTTTCATATGACTGTGAAAAGCTCAGTGCCGTAAGCATGACATGCCTTGACCGTGATGCTTTCTAGAATTTTAATGTGATTGATCAAGCGCAATGTGATTGGCCTGACAGTACCGTGACCTTGGCGTGACTGTGTCCGCACTGTGTTTATGCTGTATTCCAGGTATTTGATTGGATGGAGAGTAAACTCTCATGCAATGTGATTGGTCTGGCGTATCCCTGGCCGTGTCATGACTGTGTTCGTGCCGTGAATTTTTCACAGTCATGCGAAAATTGTACTAAACATGTACAGTACACATGTGTGTTTATTATTATTATTATGTATGTTATAAACTATTCTGCGTTGCTATTTTTTGAATACCACTGGAATTATACAGTCAATTCAAAAAATGTTGTCGTCAACCAACTCAAGTCTACGCGACTGGACCGAAAGGAACTCTGGGTAGCAATCATTGAAGCCGAGTTGACTCCATAATTTTATCTGTCTAGTTATGCCTTGTTTACAGCACGAACCTTCGTAGGCGAGGCGGGAAGTGTTGAAGAAAACGTTTTTTAAATGCCTTCATATTTTCGGAATTGTGAACTGAATCATAACTACTTTGTTTTTCTTTCCTTAAACCCGAAGACATGCATTTGATGGATTGTTTCTCTCCATTATTATTTTATTTCTAGCGGGAACAATTAATTCTGAACGAATATTTAACCGCTTCAGTGATTTTTACTCATATTCCTTTTGGTCCAGTCGCGTAGGCTTGAGCCGGTTGATGACAAGGTTTTTTGAATTGACTGTATGGTGTTAGTATACGTTAGTGCACTCTATATCTAATAGCGGAGTGGTTTTCCTTAACTCATCATACAGTAATACTGTACTGTATCTAGTACATCTTATTTCCAATGTTTTCGTTTTCATCTATTTGACTATTACACAAACAATTTGTGTATCATGGATTAAGTAAAACCTCTCTTTAATTTGTACATACAGTATATTTTCTACACATTTTACCAAGAAAGATAAACTCATAAAAATGTTAAAAAAACCTCAGTCATAATAAACTTGAAGAAATGAAGAACAGCAAGTCTCATTATCTGGTCTAAGCAAGTGAAATAAATATATTATGAAACTGTAAATCATTTAATAGGCCTATTAAAATCACTCCACCATAAAAGAAATAAAGCTAATATGGAGAAAATTATGGTTTGAAAACTAATAAACACCTCCCTCCCCCCAATGGAATTTAAGTCAAACGTTTGATAGTTCTTGCATCTTTTCTGATCCTTTCATTAGCTTTATCAACTGAGTCAGACAGTAAGTCTAACATGCCCAACTGTCTGTTCTGCTCGTCTTGTATTCCAACTGCCATCGACTTCATGTCCTGGAGAATTTTTGTCATCTGTGCTGCTTCTGTCTCACTCACAGTCTTAGCTCCTCTGTTTCCCATTGCAGATGATGCTTTCTGCATTTTCTTTTGCTTTTCTATTTCTAGCAAAGATGAAGAAAAACAGAACTCTATAAGTGTTTAACACCACTAAATTGTCAGGGCCCTATTGTAAAACACAAATTCAGAAATTCTAGATCTGTACATAGGTTGAAGATTCTTTGCTTTGATTCACCAATTCTTTCATAATCTCTCTCAGACAATGAGATTTGTTTGTCTGGTATTGGATTACCCAAGTGTAAAATTATTATTATATATAGGATGGGATTTAATAAACAATTTATTATTATCCTGCAAATATCTTTATCATGTTTGCCAATCACACTCAAGAAATTGTAAATTGTTGCAACAATCAAAGTGTTTCTATTAAACTGTCAGAAAACACAAAGGTTTAAAAGAGCACGTGACTAGGAAATATCAAGGAAACATCTATCAAAACCCCATTTTGTCGCAACGGCAAATTGTTCAATTCTGCACGTGCTTTTGAGAAGCACTAAATCAAGAGAAAAATTTGTAGGACAGATTTAAAGTATATATCACTACTGACAGTGAAACTTACCATCTAGCTTTAAATTTGCTAACAACTCATCAGTATCATTATGCGAGCTAGCAGTTGTCATGGCAACACTATCTGGAGGCTCATCAAAATTCAACTTCGGCCCAAGCATAACATTAATATGAGGCATAACCTTGATAAGTTTTGCCGAGATCAAATGTACGCAGACTTCTGGTTTTCCTATTTCACTCTTGATCAATGTCATTTCAAATGGTGTGTGGACTCTTACTTCAGAAACCTCTCTGGCCGTGAAACTATACACTGGATTCCTCTGGATGTCCAATATCTCTAACACCTTACTGCTAAGCACCAAGGAGCCTGAGATGTGTTTTTCTTTTTCACTAGCAGCATACAATACAGGCAGTTCCATTTTCTCCATTTCACTACCTTGTTTTGGGACATTGATAACAACTTCTGGGACATGAAGATCCCATTGATTCAACCATGAATCCATGCTACTTATAATGGTTTCTGCGACTCGTAAATCATTATGCAACTTGTTCATAGTCCTACAGGCATTATCTATCTGTTGCCCTTGAGTTTCGAGGGTTTTTGAAGTGGAAGACAGACAATTAGCAGAATCATGGAGGATTTCTAAAAGCTTTTGTCCACCAGATCCTTGTTGTGCAGAGGAGTCGTTGCTATGGGAACAGTGTAAACAATGCAATTAGTCTCAGTTAGGATAGGCATGCACTGCATGTACGTAGTGGAGAAGATTTTGTATGAGAAGGAAATGATACAAACTACAGCGCATTGTGATTGGATGAATCATACTGGTCTGGAAGACAATGAGAAGCCATTTCAAGGCTATCTATGGCATGACATGTTAAAATGCCTACAGCTGTGTACATGCTGTAAGTTAGAACCAAATGTTTGCCACTCAAAAAAATCCATAATATTGTGAAACAGTTGTTTATATTGATCAAATAACAATAGTCCCTTCACAGTTCCCTGCGCCATCTTGAAAGGTAGCCATGCCTTTGCATCAAAGCGAGACAAGCGGTGAGCTTGCAGCGATAGAGACCTTTTTTAAACAATTATTCAGATGTCTCCATCATTGCGAGCTCCCCGTTTGTCTCGCTTTGATGCAAAGGCACGGCTACTTTTCAAGATGGCGCAGGGAACTGTGAAGGGGACTATTACTTGTTGGCAAAATATTATCTGTTGAACAACTGATGTGTTAATTGACCGGCAAACATTGATGGGAAAAGAGGGGATGCAGTCTCCACTCATGAATTATAACCTAAATGTTAATCTTGCAATTTTGATGGACCAAAAGCATACATGTAAATATTTATACGCTTTATAAGGTATAAATACCTACCCTGATAATAAACGTTCTCTCCAAAAATGTTCCAGGATATTATACACGTGTGAGCAGCTTGGAAAAGATGCGAACCAGTATTTGTTATTAGTACATCGTATAGTCAAAGCAGTATAAAATATTGCTGTAGTTTCTTTCTTTAATTCTACGAATTCATCAAAATTAATCGTGAGGTCGATGATGTCATTAGTACTTTTAGGAATCTCTTCAGTAAAACGAATAAATTGAGGACAAACTTGAAAAATTCCGGGTATCCAACTTCGTTTTGAGTCGCAGTAGTATGAAGCCTTCCATTTGCCAATGCTAGCCATTATGGAAAGGGTTTAACGAGAGATTTTTTGGTAAAATATTAAAGCACATCAAACACTTATCGCCATCTTGATGTTGTTATTTTGGTGACTGCATTCGTTAATGCCAGCGGAGGCTACGAAGGCGAAACGACAAAATATCGATTGAGATGATTGCCATTTGACAAGCTTCGATATTTTAAAACACGACTAACGCTATGGATCCTATATCGTTGGCGAAGTCGATAAAAAGGGATATTCTGTTTCTAAACCAATTTAATGATTACTCATTTTTTGATTCAACGGGAAAAATTTTATTTTAGTTTCCAAATTAACAATCGATTAGTTGTCGCTACGAAGTTTTTGAAATAGCTCGAGTAGCCGACGTCAAGCCGAGCATGACCGAACGTCACATTAAAGTCTGGATTTTATGGAATCAAAGCTAGGACAGTGAATACGTACTTCTTTTCAATTTTCTGTCTTTTTTTGTTAATTTTTGATTTCAAATGAGTGAGAATAACTCGGTTAGTGATGAGAGCTATTCAGATGACGACGACGATGAAGAACTGGATCCAAGAATACAGGTATCATTCGATCCCGAAGGAGTTGCACAAAACTCAAGATTACTTGATTTCTTTTACTGATCACAAAGTTATTAGATCTTAACGATTGTTTTGGATTGTCGTTTCTTAATTTGTATGTCAAGGATGAGTTAGAGAAGCTGAATGCTGCGACAAATTCCATAAATCATCTGGAAGCAGAGCTTGACGTAAGTAACTACATGTAGATATAAGCTTAAAAGCTTTAAGCTTATATTTAGCTAAGCTTTTATATCTCATTTTTGCTAGCTTCAAGCTGAATTTAAACTCATTAGAGTTTTTGGAACGAATATTTAGCAACTGTGTTTGATTTATTGTGCTCGTACAAGTATATTTGCTTAGGATTTTTAAAAGCTATGGACAATATAATAAGCTTACAAAGGTTTTAGCTCTAAACTTGTGTAATCATAAGAATTGGAATCCTGTTTGCAGTTAAAGTCTTTTATTGTTATTATACATAATTCATATATTTTATGAGACCAAATCCTAAACCCAGTCAGAAATATTATAGGCTAATACAATCTATATCAAGCTTAAATGCTCAATGCGAAAATTCCGAATGATGTTTAACTTCTTTGAATATATAGAAGTATTCTGAGTTCACATACAGTATTTCAAATATGTATACTATTTTATTACCTTGCAATAATAATACAAGCTTCATTGCTATGATTTTAGGAGGCACGTGCAGTATTCCGCCAGACGTTAGCTGGTGCAACTTACCAGTTGAATGGCGTCGCTCATAAACTTGGAAAATGTGTTGAGAAGTCGAGGCCATTCTATGAGGCTTACAGACAGCTACGCCAGGTATATAGCTAGGAAAACTATGTTTGTTCCATGATAGCTAACCAGAGTAGAAAATTGTTATTGGGATTAAAATATGCAACGAGGAATGTTTGAATGAATCTAATTGCATTAGAATTGAAGATGTTGGGGGGAGGGGGATGGAAAGACAATCACTCACCTATGAATATATACTCCACTCTGTATTATATATATATTGTATATATAAATATTTGTGAGCAAACTCTTGCTGCTAAATGCTCCAGCGCTGCTCTCACTTTCACTGATCTTATGTTTYGTTTTTAACACCTTACCTTTCCTTACCTCTTCATTTCTGTGCCATTTGTCTTTCAGTCACACAGTATGCTTCAAAAGTCAACGAATCAGTTTGAGCGGGCTACTGGTATGCACATTGCAGCAAAGAACAGGGTTTCCGAGGCAGAGAGGAGGGTGTTTGGTGGAGGTGCAAAGAGAACTTTTGATTCTGCTCTACAAAAAATGCTTAATGAAGCAACAATAGAGGTAACACCACCCAAGATCTAGCCCGCATAGCAGCCCTTGGCTGTCCCCAATTCCCGGGGGGGGTACTCCCCTATATTTGCTATACGGGTATGTGCCGCCCTAAAGGGTATGGTTTTTCAGCTTTTGGGTCTGGGCTAGGGTATAATTTTTTGACGTTTTGTATGGGATAGGCATAGTTAATGGAGCATTTTTGTCTGGGATAGGGTTAACAATTTGGTTGTTTTTGTCTGGCCAATAGGCTACGCTTTCTGATGGCACAAAAAACAAAAACGTTAGTAAAAATTGATTGCAATCTATTGACTAACCGGGTTTAGTCTGGGATAGGGTGTTCAACTCTTAGTTTTAGTCTGGGGTAGGGTATGTAAAATCAAAATTTTAAGTCTGGGATAGGCTCAGGGTTTTGAGGTCCTGGCGGCACACCCCTACCCAAGTTGGGGTGGTAGTACCCCCCGGGCCCAATTCCCTTCATCTCCCTATGAATCCCAACTCCACTGTCCCACTACGATTTATTGACAGCAGCTATGCAAGCTTACCAAAACCCTATCAATAAGCTATCAAGAATTGCCAGGTGCTTGAAAATTTGGATCTATATAACCATTCTTCTAACATTCTTCCTGCAGCAATTTTGGAGTTGAATTCTTAGTTATTTAGACCTTTTGTGTCATTGAAAACATTTGGTTCAATCCAGCCTCTTTTGCAGCAGGCAACTTCTACTGGGGTTCCTGTGACAAACAATAGAAGAGAGAAGAATGGTGGCTCATCCCAGTCTTTTCTCTTCCACCTCTTTACCCCCACATCACAAAACCACAGGATTCCCAATAGATTTAATATGCTTGTCTTGATCAGTCTCCCATTCTTCCACCTTTCTTTTTCCCATATATCGCACCACAAAAATACAATTATTATGTATTTATTTATAAATGTTTTCCAAATGTAGGTTAATGAGGCAGAAAAGTTGAAAAGAGACAGTTGGAAGAAGCATCAGGAAGATTTACTTGCTTACAGAGACTTGGAGGCAAAAGTTAAACAGTTGTACAAGAAGCTGAAAAGTCCTGTAGAAAAAGCTAAGTAAGTGAAACATTTTCAAACTAAGAAATGTTTGTTACAAAACCTAAAGTTAATTTTGTTTTCTTTATTCGTAGACCATATTTTGAACAGAAAAAGGAATTTGACCGGCATCTTTGGGTAAGGATTCATGGTTTTCATAGAAGTATCAAACCTAGATATTTTGTATATTTACTATGTAGGTTTAATACTTCTATGTGAGGGTAGATGAGAAAAACACTGTTTTTGGTTTCTTCAATCAGAGATCTGAAAGGGATTTTCATGAAATTTCCATTATTTTTGGAAGCTGTGGCGAATGTGACCTCTTTTATTAAGGACTTGGTGCTATTCCTGCATAGATGTAATTTCTAATACTTGTGCAAAAAAGGCATGCACAATTCGTATCTGTGAAGGGCAGCTAGACAACTTCATAATTATTAATTCCATCCCTTTCTAGACGACTTGTAGGGCATTGCAAACGTGAATGCAATGTTTTCAAAATATCTAAATAAAATTTCGATGCTCACCAAATGACTTTCAATATGTATTTGTCTATTGGTGTAATTTAATCTTCCCCTTGAGTTTTGTTTCTTTGTTTATTGTAATGATTGAGAAGATGCACTTGCATGGATGTATTTCAAACAAACAAATTCAACCCAAAAGTTTCGAAATGGAAAAAAAAGAAGTGTTTTTGAGCCTGATGTACATTTTTGTGAAGTCTTTTATCTTTTTTTCTTTTTTTAGCAACTTAAGCTGAGGGTTGACTCGATTCATTTGGGTCTTTCTGGCGCCAAGGAGAACTATTCAGCCTGTTTAAAGTCACTAGAGGTGATCAGTGATGACATCCACGAGAAACGCAAGAGTAAGAGAATGGAAGCAATGATAGCAAAGCTACAAGAAAGAGAAGCTGGTGTGGGTGCAGACTCCTCAACAGAAGACGAAACTTCTCTCACGGCGAGTAACTTAGATTTAGACTTCGATAGCAATGTAAATTTCGATAAATTTGCTGGAAATGGAGACAGTATGTCGTTTCAAGGACAGATGGTTGGAATGACAGATAGGGCGGTAGGAGGATGTGAACATGCTGCCAATACGAATAGTAGCTTTCCTTCTGTTCCGCTGGAAAATAGAGTTGTTTATGGGCTGGAGTCACCTGAGGATGCTGCTAGACTGGGGTCTCCAGAAAAGGAAGCTGAACCAGGAAAAAGTAACTCGCACTTGGCAGACAGGGAATCATCGCTGGCAGAGCCAACTCACTCAGAATCTGCGGTAAATACTGAAGCTGGACCAACTTCATCTTCAGAAAATATGGTGTCTTTAAATGAACAAACGTCAGAGATGGATGCACCGGGCATTGCAAATGTGACTACAAATTTATCTCTTGAAGCAAGCATTTCTACTTTGGACAACGAAACAGCACATGAGGAAAACTGTGCGAAAGATGAAGAAACCACGAGTGATGATTTCTGTGTTACTATAACGGTTGACGAGATGGGGTCTTCAGATACGATGAAAGGTGAAGACAGTGCACCAGCGATTAACGAAAGTTTGACTACTCAAATAGAAGCTGAGAACAAGCAAAAAGCTTCACTAGTCGAAGAATCCGAACTGTTTGAGAATCAAGAAACACAAAGTGAAAGCCATGAAACACAAAACGAGAAAACGAACAAAACAGATAATGCAAAGAACGAAAGCCAGAATGATATAGAAGGACGTCAGATACTAGTAACAAACGAGGAAACAGGCTGCAACTCCGAACAGTCTGTAAAAGAAGACGAAGATCACGTCAAGAACGTTACTGATAACAGTGGTTGTGCTACAGAAAGTGTTACAGAACAAACAGAAAAACATGAAACAAGCTGCGAATCAGAATCAAATGACAATGCTGAACAAGACAAAGAGCCCTCGAAGGAAGATGAGGATAATACTAAAGATGTAACAGAAGAAAATGAAATAAATGGAAATGTTGAAGAAAAAGAAGTCACAGACGACGATACTGGAGCAATTGCAGAGAATATAACAGAAGTAAAAGAAAGCGACACTCAATTAAAAGAAAACGTCGAACAAGGTAAAGAGCCCACGAACGAAGATAATGCTGAAAATATTACAAACGAAAAAGAAATAATTGAAAATGTTGAAGACAAAGAAGTCACAAATGATAATACTGGAGGAAATGCAGAGAATACAACAGAAGTAAAAGAAAGCGACTCTGAATTAAAAGAAAACGTCGAACAAGAAAAACGAGTCTCTAGCGACCAGGCGTAACTGAACTGCTAGATTACCGTATCTACCTTCCACTGTCAAAAGCCATCGAGAATGACCTTTTTGGTGCTTTAATGAGATGGTTTTTGCTTGACATGGTTTTACCTAGATCGTGGTGTGGTGATTCTTGTGTAGCTATAAACTCTTGCTTACGACATCAGTGCTGTCTCACTGCAAAAGGATTTATAAACATTTTTGTTATTGTTGCCTAACACGCTTCAAGCCGGTGGCAGTTCCACAAGAACGTGCTAAAGCAGTTTGTATCCACGATTGTTTTATTTTTATTTTATTTTTTTGTGATGTAATGGTACTCCCCTGATTCTTTCTTCTTAGTACTCTTTTGCTGCCATGGCATACATTGATTCCTAAGTATACATTGACTCCGTTTGGTGTCGTGTGCCTATGACCTATCTACCATCAAAGAGATTTGAACAGAGAAGAGTTGCTTCATGTGTCGTCCCACTGGAGACTAATGTTGTCGTTCTTTGGTATTGATGGATTTGGAGACACGATTCGTAGTCAACTGCACTTGTTAACGTTGAGTCAAAGCCTGGGTTAAGTTTGCATTGCAGTGCATTTTGGGGCTGTTTTGGGGACGCCATCTTGGAAATATGTCTCCTGAAACAGTCCCAACTCGACCCAGTTTTTCTCATCCTCGGAATGGACAATGTCCTTGCATCTCAACATCACGATAAAAGAATCCTTGCTAATTGCTGTGGGCGGCTCAAGTCATTGATATAACGATTTTTTTGTAAACTACCCTTGTTCCACAAACTCTGAGGAAGGCTATAATGTTGAGCAAAATCTCAGTGTCAAGGCCTCTAGTTACACTGATCCGACGTGAAACTCGCTCTCTCTAACATGACGCCTGACTATGAATGCAACCGAGCAATCAGACAAATTTGATATTATTTTACGTCTCTGAATGGTTTTTTCCTGCCTCTGGAACCAGGGTAGATAATTCGCTTTACACTAAGCAGTAATAATATTTTAAAAATTACCGTATGACTAAAAAAAATTGAATTTTGTTCAGCTTTTATGCCCGTGCCAAACAAACTCGCAAAATGGAACGAATAGACCGTTTTCTCAAGGTTGCGTGCGCATCCAACGTGACGGATCACAAAACTGAAAAACGCAAATTCAGTCAAATTGAGAAGCCAGTTTTATATTTAAAAAAGAGAATAACCAATTTTATGAATTCGTATCGAAATTTTTTTCATAGCAATGCATGATAATACAATCTCGTACCCAGAGCCTGCGTTTCTTCTGGCCTGCGTTGAAGAACGAGGGCTCTGGCATAATTTATTTTTTGAGACCAGGATTTCTTGGACTTCCGGTATAATAGMGCACGCGTTCAAAGACTTGCCAAAAATTAAAAATATTCCCCCCCTCCCGATTTTTAATTCGTACTATGATTTTGACTTTGATTTTGACTTCAATTTAATTTTTACTTTGCTCATTTTGACCGTTCGCTTGCGCCAAAATATGGAATTTGCCAGAGCCCTCGTTCTTCGCCGAAGGCCAGAAGAAACGCAGGCTCTAGGTACGAGATTGGGCCCGTGAAGTTCTTTACATTTGGATGCTCACGCAATCTTGAGAAAATGGTCTATTCAGTAATGCGATGTTTTTAAAGGAATGACAACCACATCATAACCTAGTACAACATAAATTTTATAATATAGAAATTTTTCACAAAATATTATACGAAATTATTATTATTATTAATTACTACGATTGTTAGATATATATTAAGAGTGTTGAATGATTAATAATTGGAAAGTAAAGATCGGATAATAAACAGACTTTATAGACAGTGCTGGTTGTTTCTCTATCACAAGTCGATGTCCAGGTTAAGTTCGCCTGAAATTTAACAGTTATTTACTTATAAACTGTATAAAAATATTACACAAACTACACATATAATCTAATATTATTTTATTCTTGATAGCAAAGGCAGCATATACAAAAAAGCCAAACTAGTTCTATAAAACATTAATACAGTTAGTCATAGTATTTATGTCTGTGTTGTGTTGTGTGGTGTGGTGTTGTGCTATGTTATATATTGATTGTCGTGTGGTATGCATATGTGCATTCCCCTTTTGATTATATCCGCCACTATTGCAAATATCTCTCCAAGGATAGAAAGATTTCAACAAGCATTTCCTTATATTTCTCCTATATCTGGCCTCAAGAAATATCTCCCTCTACAGGTTCAAAGACACCGATGGGTAAGAAGCATGTCCAACTTATAATAATTTTAGAAGTTTTTATGAAATATAGTCGAACTTCGCTTCACAGACACTTGTTTTTGTCCCATGTATTCTTTTTGAAGGAACGGTCATTAGTTAAACAGTACTATATAGAGATGAGGCGATATATTGTCAAGGTCCAGATGAAGGGGCCAGGTAGGTCTGTCCATTTTTTTAGTTTCGATTACCTAATGTATTTTGGAAAAAATCCCATTCTATTTCCCATTCCAAGTTAAACCTATCTTAGAGTGCCAGCCCTTTTAATCCCATTTTTAGCGCAAAAACCTAAAACTGTAAAGCCATATTTTTGTTTGCCATGCCTCTTAAACATGAATGTTGTAGTCTAAATGAATTAATTGACAGACGGATCATGCTGTCTTTAGCAAATAGCAAATGGCGGTTAATCCCGAAAGCTTCTATCAATTCTAACCCCGATAACTTGAATATACTATACGATATTATCACAGCCTTGCTTTACGCACTTGAGAATAACGATAAATCCGTTGACCTCAGCTTGTCAGAATAACCGAACATGATATGCTTTTTCTTGTAAAAATTAAATTGCTAATAATTCAATATTCTCTGCATACAATAATTGCTCATAGCATAAAGCTATCTCCAATTGAGTGATTATATTAAACCCGTGAAAAAATAGTAGACACTAAACCCATTGTTTGTTTTTTTTAATCAACTAGTACTACCTAAATAGTTATTTTTCTTTCACGGGTTAAATAAAATCGCTCTGTTTCCTCAATTCCCAGTTTAACTGTACTTGCAAATATAAGAAAGAATAAACCCTTTGTTAAACACTTGCAGCTATACTTTTACCCTGGCCTGTTTCGTGATGCTGGTGTTGATGTTCTTGGTCCGGTTGACGATGGGTCTTTTTTCGTAGGATGATAACTGCGACTATGAGGATAGTGAAGCCTATGATGGCCAGGGTTGTAGCGATAGCAAGAAAGGATGGTAGAAGATCTGTGGATCAGCGATAGAAGCAGTCAGAGTATATCTAGTAACAGGGGCGTAGCCAGAATTTTGGCGTGGGGGGAAGGGGGGTGGGGAGCAATGGCATGAACTTATCAAGTGACTGCTTAGGTGAACAAAAAAAAAAAGTGTTAAAAACAAATTTGAAAGAGAGGTCACGTAAATGATAACGACAACAATTGTCCCCTTCACAGTTCCCTGCGCCATCTTGAAAAGTAGCCGTGCCTTTGCATCGAAGCAAGACGAACGGTGAGCTTGCAATGATAGATACCTTTTTTAACACCTTGGACAATTATTCACATGTCTCTATCATTGCAAGCTCACCGTTCGTCTCGCTTCGATGCAAAGGCACGGCTACCTTTCAAGATGGCGCAGGGAACTGTGAAGAGGACTATTCCAAGATATCCATACCCTTAGTGTTTCTTGGTTCAGGCTTGATCATAGGTCCTTGAGATAGAACATCAACGTGGACAGGACGACTATAACTGACAGACCGTCTATGTCTCCGAGCTTGGGATTCAATCTTACAGTCTTTATTACAAAGAGAATTGGCATCAGACACATTGCATACTACGACTGTGCAATGAATGTAGGCATAGGTAGGGTCCTTGACATTGACGAACTGGAAGGCTTTGAGGCTGAATCGGTGGACTTGTTTCAGGTCTGTTTTGTGGTAGATGATTGTTCGATCGACAGGGCAGCTGAGAAAAATTGAAGAAATCATACTATTAATTGGAATTATAATAAGCATAATCAACTGTGAATTGAATGCTGAGAGATAAAGCTGTGCAAGTGAAGAAGACACAAAGATGGATGGATGGGATGGCTGAGATGTATGGGATGAATGAATGGGATGGGTGAGATAGATGGATAGAATGGATGGGTGGATGGAAGGATGAATGGGATGGATGAATGGGATTGATGGATGGATGGATAAGTGGGATGGATGGATAAGTGGGATGGATGGATGGGATAAATGGATGGGCTGGGTGGATAGTTAGATGGATGGATGAATCGGGGCTGAATGAATGGCCACAAGGGAGGAGGAAAAAAAGGAAAGGAAGGAGTAAGGAAGTAAGAGAGAGRGAGAGAGAGAGAGGAAGGTAAAGGAAATGAGATATCGCATGTCATACCCATTACGTATCAGATCGTATTGAATCCTATTGTTACGATTAGGATCTGGCGTTGCGTGACAACGATCAGCTGTCACAGCAAGTCTGTTGTCCATTGACTGCACACTTAGCTGGAAGTAAATCCTACGATTAACCATCACTGGAATTGGAAAATCCTGTTCTGGGTAAGGCACGGAGTAACTGAAGTCCTTGAAGACAGCCATATTCAATGCAAACATTCCCGTGTCACTGGCGTTGGCTCGGATAACTTTTCGACTCGGCTCAAGAGCAAGAGCAGAAGTGGCACCTCGTCTTGTGTAGAAACATCGGAAAGGTACTTGGATGTCATGTAATCGAGTAATCATGCTGTTAGGATTCGGTGGTCGCTCGCGTATGACGTTCTTGTACACGAAGGCATGAGGTGTCTGGGTCATTTCTGTGCCGCACTCCGTGAGACCCGTAGAGAAGATAAAGTGGGTGCCATTTTGCTTGGGCTTGCATTTGGGATCGATTAAGTTTAAGTCTTCTCGTTGCATGCCCATAAAGAACATCTGACGCACGATGATCATCATCTCCTTCTTGCCACAACCAATAGCAATGTTGTTGTTGATATCTATTGAAGGAAGGGAGGCCAATAAGGTTGAACTACAAACAATAGATAACTTCGATTCATAGCATAATTTCTATTAAATAATTCTACTTTTTTGTGTTGATCAAGTTTTCGAACTGCGCCTTTGGCGAGAAGAAGTCTTTTCTGTCAGTGAATAAATCATCGGAGCAGTTTACGTATGATCGTGAAAAGCTTACGATATCACAAGGTCGTGACGAGGTCTGCATGAACACTGAGCGGATACCTTCATCGTCAAGGCCACGCCACTGCCAGATCGACCAATCATCGCGCGCCAGAAAAAAAAAACCAGCCAATCAATAGCTTTTTACAGTCATCGAACTACTGCTCTAAGTATCCAGTAACGTTCTGCCGAACGCCTTAACTTAATCAGACATTTAGCAAAACATAATCAATCATTTCGTTGCAACTTTTTCGTATTGAACTAAGGGCAACGAAATCGTGCTACTTGTTTCTTACTACGCTGCAAGTTGAAGAGGAAAATCAAGGTGCACGTACTACTGTTCTGCGTGCAACACATTTTCAAGCGACGCTTAGGTAAACTTCGTTCGCTTCTGCCCAACAGTGCGATCATGTTATAAAGATATATCAGTACTTACGTGTCACATTGAAGTATCCAAGAATCCCCTCCGCTGAAAAGCAATACAAACAATTTTTTCTCAATCAATGCTGCAAAGGAATTTCATTTTGTAAAATTATTTTAAATGTTTTTTATCGTGAATAATTCTGCAACAGAATCATGGGACGATACATGCTTTTGTTGTTGACGAAAGCCTTTTCGAAGAATACTGATCGTATAGATCAGACTTCTTTACCTTGGGTGTAATGCTTTCCCATTTCAGACCACGTGTCATTCCCTAGAGCATAATTTCTTTAACAGTTGCACACGAGAAGACATTTGAATATGGATCGACTCAATCTTATCCTCAAGAGAATGACACGTGGTTTGAAATGGGAAAATATTACGCCTAAGAGAATATTACGAATAAGAAGACAAATGAATATGGATGCAACTCTTAGAAAAGTCCTTATTGCTGGCTTTAACTACACTTCATTTCTTGTCTCGTGCGGAATGTTCATCAACTGAATCACAAGTTTTCAATAGAATTCTTTCTGCACGCTGGTTTGTGGCAGTGTTTGACCACCATTTGGAGCAGATAATGAGATTCAAAGACTTTTATCAGCTGAGTGAAACCCAGCAATTCTCAAGAAAATGACACGTGGTTTATTGAAATGGCAAAGTACTACGTCAAGAGGATCTACCCACGTCCAATAGTGCTTAACCAGTTTGATTATCAAGACAAATGAAATACTTTTCATCCCGGAATAACACCAAAATCTGGCACCGAATAACTTATCTCAATTTGGAAATATAAGAGGTTCATTATCAGATTTTCTATGGACATATGATAAATATTTTACCTTCGCAGTACTCGCCATCTCCTTCATATCCAGGAAGACATTCACATGCGTATGATCCTTCCGTGTTGATGCAAATAGCGTTCCCATTACAACGGTCATCGAGATTTTCCTTGCATTCGTCCACATCTATTAACGAATAATCATATTATTATTATTAAGTATTAAGTTATAATCATTATTAAGTTTTTCTGGCGACTAACGACCAGATGGGAACTAGACAGAAAGAGCTACTTTGGTGCCTATATGTGTAGGAAAGTCAAGCAAGCAATTCCAGATTTGTTAATTACATTGTTCCGATTCAATCAGTTACTAAGTAGGAATATAAAGCTTTTCACTATTATAAACACATCGATCAAAAATGATGTTTAATTTGCACAAATTTGCCAACGAATTTCATTCATGGATCTTTGTGATTAATATAACGTGGTAAACAGACACAAAAAAAATGGAAAACTAGTATAAGCAACAACAGGAGAAAAGGGGAAAGCAACGATAAGTATAACAACAACAACAAACCAAAAAAACGAAGAGAAAAAACAAAACAAAACAAAAAAAACAAGAACAAAAACCAAACGAAATCAAACAAAAACAAACAAAACAAAACAAAACAAAACCTAATAAATGTAGGTGGTGCCAGGTTCGAATCCCGCTGT